TTAAAACTCTAGAATATCGCCTATTTTCTTTTCAATTTCAAAAAATGAAAAATGATTAATTTTTACCCGATTTCTTATAGAATTAGTTTTTTTTAAAACTAAAACGGGTCATAATCATTTCCTAGTCAAGATTATGATGTGTAATTTTTGTCCATTTGTTAATTATAATTAGCTTAAGAATGCTGACTTTTGTCTTAATCAAAGTAAACATAAGTTTAATCGCCGTATTAATTGACGAGACAACATATTAGCTACGTATTGTATAGTGTTGTCTTTATCTCAATTTGAACAAAGACTAAATTTATCATATTATATTGTCAGTTTAAATATAATATTTGTTTTGATTATTACATAATTTATATTCTATTGTATCGCATTGTTTAAATATATTGTTAGGTAATGATGAAAAGGCTCATTTTATGTAATGACCGATTTGGTGTGATTGGATTGTTAATTACCTTAATATTTTCTTTTCACTTTATCTTTACTCATTATTTAATTAATTACAATGTTTTTATCTTTTATTCTACCTTTTCATGGTAGCTACATGTTCCTACTTTTCTTTTAGATTTATCATTCAAATTATGAGTCGTGACATTATTTAATGACAAAAAACGATACAATCTATTCAAATATTGTATACATTAAAAACAATACAGATACAATACAAGTATACAACACAACACATTAATATACAATACAATACTTTGCGTAGTACCACTACTAAATCAGTGGATTTTATTGGTTTTTAAGAATTATCTTTTATTTATACTCTTCAGATTCAATTTATTTGCAAATTTTCTTTTTCTTCTTTTCTACAAAAAATAACTCCAAGTATTGATATTTTGCATTTTTGTATTTATAAAAATCGACTTCGAAAAGTTGATAATTTTCAAAATAACTAAACAAATCAATACTTCTTCAGCTACTTTTTATTTGTTAAAATTTGACTTGGCACAATTATTAAGAAAATAATTATTGATATAGTAAGTTTATCATTTCATCCTTATTAATTAATAGGATCCCACATATATTTACTCACTACATTTTTTTTAAAGACATTAACTCAATTTTAGTAAATAAAGAGTATAATAGAAAAAAATAAATTGTCTTTTCTTGATTTATCGAAAATAATTAGTAAAAAGAGAAAGCAAATTAAAAAATATTTGACAACTATATAGAAACAAAGACAATAGTTCTCAACTCCCTTTAGAAAGGGCTAGAGAGAGAACGGATAAGCTTTAGACATTCAAGCAAAGATATATATATATATATATATATACTAGTTTTTGACACGTGTGTTGCACGTGATTACCAATTTCAAAAATATATGTTATAGTAAATACTATTGTTTATTTAAGCAAAGATTTTGAATAATAAGCTTAGTACAAAATAATATTGCAGATTCTTTTGTGAATGTTCAATGTGGATCATCATATATATCTCTTATTCACGCGAACCTATGAATTTTTTATTAGTTAAATGTAATAATATTTATATTTATTAATTTGATGAGGTTCAATCATGTAATTAGTTGTATCTCACTAATATTACCTTATCGACGATATTTATTGTGTATATTAAAATTAAACTAATACAAACTTCAACTGGCGTTATTACAAGTAATATGAACTTTTCTACGTCTAAAATATTGAATTATGAAGAAATAGTAAATAAGTAAAACAAAAGGGCAATGTTTATATAGTATTAACTATTTTTAAGCAAACTTTCTGACAATCTAAATCACATAAGTAGCATTGAATAAAAAAAAAGTCATTCTTTTGTCTTGAGCATACAAAAAAATCAAAATCGTGACAATTCTCTAAATTTTAGGAAAAAGATATTCAGAAGCATATATCTACATCACAAGAGAAATTGTTAACAAAAACAAATGAATAGAGACTACATCATGTTAACTTCATATATTGAAATATTACATACTAATGTATATATTAAGAAAAAAAAATTATTATATCATCAAAATTATTTTTCTCAAGTACGTGAGGTTATAGAAATAGAACGATTTACTTCATCAGAATAGTGATACCTCATATTCCGCTAAATTTTTAACTCACTCAATGACAATAAATCACACAAAACTTTTAAAATACAAGAAAAAGAAGAGTAGAAGATTAAAAATAATTGTGGTTGAAAAATGAGAGGAAGCCCCTCTATTTATAGTCAACAAAGGGTAGTATGAACAAATATTTTTGTGTCTGAAAAGTCATGACCTTTCCGAGAAATCACAACCCTTTGGAAAAGTCACAACTTATTGAAAAAGTCACAATTCTTTGGAAAAAGTCACAACTCATCGAAAAATCACAACCCTTTGAGAAAAGTCACAACTTATCAGAAAAGTCACAACTCATATGAACAAATATTTTAGTGTCTTATCTGAAAAGTCATGACCTTTTCGAGAAATCACAACTCTTTGAAAAAGTCACAAGTTATTGAAAAAGTCACAACTTTTTTGGAAAAATCACAACTCATCGAAAAATCACAACCCTTTGAGAAAAGTCACAACTTATCGGAAAAGTCACAACTCATCGAAAAATTCACAACTTAAGTTAGGGATATTATAGTAATTTAACATTCAAGTTAGGAGTTCATGCTTTTAAGGTAATATAGAATATAGATATTGTTAGGGTTTTCCCCTGATTTTCTTACCTTATTTGAAGTTTATTTTTTCCTAAAAGAAAAGACAAAACATTACCATAAATGTTTTTACTTTTCTTGAAAGGAAAATATAATATTCTTTCATATTTGGTTTATTCTTTCCTTTTAAGAAAATGTTTTGGAGTAGCTAGTTCTTTTCTAGTAGGAAAGGTTTTAGGACTATATAAATATAGGTTTGTTTCTTCTAACAATAACACAATAGCATCCACAATGTAGACATTTAAGAGTTTTGTTTATGGGGAGATTTTCTCTCTACAGTTTTTATGTTTTGTATTAGTTTTTAATTATGTAGGTCAATTGGTCATATCATATAATAATAATATTATGTCTTTTAATATAGTTTTATGTGTCATCTAATTTATCCTCATATGATTTGCAAATTATAAACTTCCGCATGACGCCCCAATTCACCTTCATAACCCAACAGATATAAATAGATATATATTGCATTACCACATGTATATAGATAAGGTTAAGGTTACATGGTGTGTTGCATAAAAAGCAAGCAATATATATAGGGGAGGGGGTGTCTAGTTTATATGTATGGGGGAGATCTAGGTGCACGCTTGCTTGCTTTGGTGCAAAGAATATGGAGATGTGTCTCACTTTTATAATTAAGATTTCAAGAAATAAACACATTGGAATTCTAGTCATTCAAAAGACTCTGATTGATAGAGGTATAATTTTCATTTTAAAAGACATATTATGTAATTTTATAATAAAATAATTTTTTTCTTGATATGTCAAAAGTGACAAGTAAAAATGAACGAATGAAGTATAATACATATTAAATGGAGTTTTTAACACAAATATAAAATTTTATTGAAGAAATTAAGTTGAACCCAAGGTTAAAACTCTAACTTCGCCTTGTAGATATCCATTATCTCCAAGTCTCGAATTTTTCAACGGATTATATTTAAGTGAAGTAAAAATTTAAGAAAAAAAAACAAAAATTATATAATATTCTTTATTTATGGAATTTTGAACTGTTAGGGGTCGTTTGGTTTGAAAATGAGTTATGATGGGATAAGTTATGTTGGGATAAGTTATGTTGGGATTAGTTATGATGGGATAAGTTGTGTTGGGATTATTTTTTATTGAGTGTTTGGTTTGTTGTATTCAAAATAATAAATTTTAAGAACAATTTATTTGTTTACAAAAATGCCCTTCATTAATGTAAAAAGTGATATAACAAAAGGGTTGAAAGAGACATTTTTGTCATTTACCTATTTTATCCCGGGATAAGTTATCCCGGGATTACTATACCACCCTAGGTTAGGGATAACTTATCCCGGTACTAATTATTAATCCCGGGATAAGTTATCCCGAACTTGCCAACCAAACAACAAAATAAGCGGTACTATAATTTAATCCCGGGACTATATGGTATTATCCCTCACACCAAACGACCCCTTAGTTAACTAGGACACAAATATATTAAAGAAATATTATTTTTTTTAAAAAAAAGACAATCAGTCAGAGCAGAGCTGCTAAAACGTTACAAATGGTTTTGCCTCGAGAAAGAAGTTATTCAGTAACTGTGCACGTGCAAACCACTGTCCATATTCAGACTCATGTCTCCCTATTATATAAAACCCTAAATTTTTTTATAACTATTTTTATTAACAAAAAATAAAAGATTTTGAAGAAGTAAAAAAGATACTCTAAAGTGAAAAATAATGTTGGAAAATAAGCTTATTCAAATACTTTACTACTCTCTCAGTCTCAATTTATGTGTCAGCAACAACATATTCGATCACCAGTGTGTGATTTCATAAGTGAGATCTGAAAGGGTAAATCATGTGTATGCTATCTTTGTGGGGTAGAAAGACTTTTAGATTGACTCTTGGCTCAAATAAAGCATATGAAAGTAGGTTTAAAAAGAAAATAGAGTAGTGAAGTCCCAATTTATTTGTCACAATTCGGATTTTGAGAGTTAAATTTCTTAACTTTGACTATAAATTTGAACTTAAAACAATTTAAAAGGCATTATAATTTAGAAGTCACATTAAGACAAGTTAAAAGGCCTAAAAAGAATCACGAAAAGATTATGCTAAAGATAAATTAGTTTGACTCTCGAAATGCCAAACACATACCTTGGATAGAGGGAGTACTAAAAAACATGGTCATTAGTAGAACTCAATTATCATGATTATGGAATAATAATGTATTAAATGAATCTCACACAATGATGGATTTCATAAATAATGACATGATTTTTTTTTTGGTTGTCTTGGTTAGAGAATATATAGTTGAAATTCATTTATTATAAACTAATTTCATGAAGATGCAACTCAGCAAGAAACTAATAAGTTTACATCATTCAATTGATCAAATTAATGACAAACATTTCATATCATTTGATCATAGTCAAACTCACAATAGAAAAGCCTAAATTAAAGTGTAATGTGACTAATTAAAAGAAATTATGAAGAACTTAATAAAATGACCAACAACAACACATTCCTAAGAATTCTTGTAAACTAAATGGAGATAATTTCAACTAATTAAAGGTCACGACCCTCAAATTTTGGATCATGAACATATATGATCCAATACTGGAGGGTCGTGACCTTAAACAAGTTAATCAGAGAAAATTATTACCCGGCCCTTGTACGAATCTCATCTAGTTAGAATGGAGGTCGACCCGTTGCCCAATAAGCCTCAGAAGGTAATTGAACATTATTGAGAAGATTTGGTGGCATTCCATGAAATAGTGAAGGGTCAGCTAATAATTGTTGTTGTTGTCCTCCTGGAGCAATTGTCGCTCCAGGAGAACCTAGTGAACCTCCTTGAACCGGAAGTTGGTTCGAATCATCCTCATCTAAAGGAAGTCTTTCATAAGCTGCATTGCTAAAAGAAGCCGCCATAATAACAACCGGACCAGATGCCATAAGGGACCCTACCACACAACCTCCCACCACCTGACCTTGTCCGCCAGCTAAATATATAGTCAACCCTGAAGCAGCTGGTGGAGCTGGTGGTGGGAGAAATGATCCTGCTAAGGATAATATCTCAAAACGTCCATGTAGGGTTGCAATCGCACCTGATAAGCCCAAAAAAAGAAGAAGGTAACATTACCAAGACGGTCATAAAAAAGAAAAATCAAGAAAAATATTTTTAAAAAATTGTACCTGGTGAAGCTGGTTGTCTTAAGTTTACATTTGTAACATTTCCTGTTCCACTCATAATACAAACTCCTCTTTGACGTCTTCTTGAAAAATTTGAAACACTTTCCATAATATCACAACCATCAGCAATTTCCATAACATGAGTTCTAAGGGCATTTGCACTATCTCTAGTGATGATGATAGGTGCTTTTGGCTTATTTTTGGATCCAGCAGGTCTACCTCTAGGCCTTCTATTGAACTCTCCATCTCTATGGCTTCCGTTAACGCCTAACTCATCCGTTGATTCATCAACATTTGAATCATTGTAGTTGTTGTTGTTGTTGTCGTTGTTGTTGTTGTTCTCTTCGCGATCTCTCTTTTGCCCCGACATGTTTAGGCCACTTGTTCCACTTTGCTCGTCTTCCGAGCTATGTTGGAACTGAAGTTGTTGTTGTTGCTGGTGGTGGTGGTGGTTGTTGTGATGCTGTAAGTTGAAATTTCTCGTGTGGAAAGGAGGGGGTAGAGAATTGTTCGACGGATCCATAGTCTTTTTTTGTATAATTAATTCTCAGAGAGGTAGATCTAGAACAGGTTCAACAATAAATTCAACTGAACCACTATCGAGAGAGAGAAAATGAAAATGGAAATATGTCTAATAGATCACATCCATCTAACTACTTTGACCAATTGACTCTAAATTCTGAATCTGCGTCTGATAATCTGTACTTGATTTTTGGGATGTAGATTGATGGAAAGAGTGAAAGAGAGAGAGAACACTAAAGTTTGGAGAAACAAATTAAAGAAAATGAAAGTACAAGAAAGGGAAAGGATGTAATGATTTGAAAAGATAAAAAATGTAATGATTTTATTGAATTCAAAAAAAAATAAAAAATCACTTTGTTTGCTTAGTTTTGTAGAAGAGAATATAAGGAGGAGTTGAGTTAGGGTTAGCTAATAATTTAGCTTGTGAGAAAAAGAGGAAGATTTAGATTTTAGATCTGATGGAGTTTTTGCATATTTTGTTTTGTTTTTGGTTTTGCTGTGCTCATGGACGGTGCACTGGTCCCCCTCACCTCACCCCACCCCCCTAATATTATTTAATTTGAGGTTCTGAATCATGCGTGAATGTATGATGCTTTAATGTGTGCATCGAGCTATCCCTTAATCACCTTATCTTTTATAAATCAATAGTGTCAAATGATTTTTTTACAGTTACGAGTTGTTTAAGTTAATAATTATGGATCGATGATTGTTCATATAAGAATATGACTAGTAATTTAGAAAATAAGATATATATATATATATATATGTATTATCTGTTTCAACGGTTATATAAGATTATCTAGTCACATCCACTAAAAAGTACAAGTTGCATATGTCAATAAATAAATTAGGGAAAGCTGTTCCTTGAGGTTATAAGTGTGGTCATGTCTTGTGTGGACCTCTAGCTATATCGATCGGTCCAAATGTATGAAATCATGGTGAATGAAGATGTTAATCGCAGAAAGTTGTTATGAAAGATGAACAATAATATAAAATCAATGAAAAATTATAAATACAGGTAATACCAATTAATAGAAAATACATTTTTAATCATATTAATGTATTTATATTTAAAATATAAAGAACTTTAATAAGTAATTTTCAAAATTTAATTATTTTTTTTATTTGTATAACGTTAGCCGCCTGAGATGATTTTAAATGAAGAAAAATGATTAATAAACTTGAATTCATATTTTTCGACTTTCACTTAAGGAATAATTTGTTGTTATTTATACGTTAAGATACGATTATATTTATGAAATTCTTTTATAAATTTATAAAATAAATCTTATTTGTTTTATAGTATTAATATGTTCAACCCTTTTTAACTTTTTGTCCATATTCCTGGCATAGTCTCAATCAATAAACTTAGCTTTTTTCTTCATGCATTGTTACTTGATTGGTTAAGGTTTTCTTAAATTTCTTTATAGCATGTTACATTAAATGTTGTAATTCCTTTATTTTAATTTGGTTGTCTTTATTCGTAATCAGGAATATTGGTAAAAAAAGAGAGTAATCCTCAACTTTCGTTTTGTTATTCCTCTGTTCCATATTAATTGATGATTTTCTTAACTGATCACCTTTTTGTATTTGTCCCAAATTATTTGATCACTTATTAAAACTAATCGATTTTTTCCTATTTTATCCTTATAATTAATATCATCATCATGCTTAATGTTCCCGTAATTTCTATTTGGAAGCTTAAAAAAATTAAAGTTCCTAAAATTTATATTTTCAAAGAATTCATTAAATACTTAATTACTCCCTTAGTACTTTTGTTCTCACTTGCTTTTGAGTACTTATACCTTTTGTATCATCATAAATTATTTTGATATCCATCAATATGAATGAAGAGTAAATTGGTCAAATTGATCATTTTATTTATGATTTCTTAAGTATTGTGCAAAATGGAAAGTGATCAGTTATTATGGGACGGAGGGAGTACTATTTTAATGGTCAAAGAATATTTATACTATAATTTTTTAAAATATTATGAATTTTTAATAGCGTCTTTTATGTAATTTTAAAATATGTAAATTTTATTTTGAAAAATTAAAAAAAATTATGACGGACTCCATTTTTCCTTCTATTAATTATTTCGTGTAAGGAATTATTTTCCTTCTTGATTTTTGATTTAATTAGTTGTAGAAGATTATTACTTTATTGTGCAAGTCATCATTTCAGGCTTGATATAAACTTTACTTGTTACCCGTCAAGTTTGGGGTGTTTTCAATTTTTTTTGTTTTTTTTAATAAGAGTTTCACACTCTTACAAGAGTTTGAGACCACTTGCTATGCAATGTGGATAATTCGGGATATATTTAAGTTGAGTTAGTCAAGTAAGATGAATGTTTTTAAGGATGTCAATAATTTGGAAATGAAACTAATAATTCACATGTAAGTTCAAGGATGTTTTCAATACTTCTCTACGGTTATTGTAAAAAAATATTTTCACATCCTTTCGTAAGTTGACACGTGTCTAAATCATGAACCCGATATTGTGCATGAATTTATGTTGATTGTGGAATTTAGGGGGAAATTGTTGAAATTTTGGAAAAAACATGAATAATTGATTTAAGCAAATAAGTAGGGGAAAATTAGAGACTATCCAAAAGGACGAGTTGTTTTCAATAATTTATATGAGGATGATGATTGAATAATTCAAATATCGTGATGAGATAGGCGGAGGAAAGAGGTAATTAATTAAATGTATTGAGTTTATATGAACTCGATAGGTGTGGATGAGTGGGCATACGAGTTTAATTGAATCATAACTTTAAAAAAAAAATTAGTATTCATTAATTTAAAACTCTAGCACGCTTTGTCTATAGTTAGATATGCTATATATTAAATTTTCTAGGCTATATATAAAAGCTTGTCATTTAAATAAAACCAAATTTAAAGTTAAATACTTTTCAAATATAGTATAATGTCTTTGTTAAACAAATTGTGATCCCCCGATGAAAGGCCGAGTCAAGCATGATTGACAGACTTCTAGAATAATAAGTTTTCTTAAGACGAGGTGCACATGACATCTTAGACGAATCACACATCGAAATGAGACAGAAAGATGAGAGTTTTATATATAAAGCATAATACAAATCCACATGATAATTACGTTTTTACCTTTAGGGGCTCAATGTGACATAGCACAAAAGACAAATTCATGCATGCATAGGCCCAAAGAAAACGATATGTTCCATGAATTCGGGTTATGACAAATATGATATAAGAGCTAGAACGTGACGCGCTCCATAATAGAGGGTGGCCGAATGAGGATGGGTTAAGAAGGAAAAATATGTTTAGGCTGACAAGCTTCTAAAAAAGATCTACACGTGACTTTAATTAAGCGAATCCCATATTAGACATACAAATTAGAAGAGGAAAGTGAAAAATTCTATCAGGCACCATATAAGTTCACATGATATGTACATACACTTTATAGTTCGAAAAATGCAGCATAAGCCAAAAGACAAATTCATATGGATTTAAGATCGATAAAAAAAAAAAAGGACAATTAGTACCATAAACTATATATATAAACGTATCACATAAAATGAAATATATGAAGGACTAGTTACATCATAATGTAGAAGTTATTCTCATGATTAAAGGATTGATAACAAAATTACATATAAAATAAAGAGATTAATATTAATTAATGCCGACCATGGTCATAGAGTATGCTTTTATAATTTGTTTCTTTCTCAAACGGATACTCCACGTAATTGGGAATTTCCAAATAACATAGTTTGACCACATAATAAATTTGGATACTAGTTTATTAATTATTGTCTTCTTGTTAAAATTATAGAAACAAAGAACCATTATGGAATATGCTTTTACAATGTCTACGTAGTCTTAATTACTGGACGAAACGGATCAAAAAGTCATTCTTCATATATCTCATTATCAAAAGAAAAAAAACTAGAAAAAAAAAATAAGTACAGTATAATTAGTGATAAAGATACTCTAAAATATTTTATTTGACACTATATGTGAAGGAAAAAAAATGTTTTTACAAAGTAAATGTCAATTTGGGTTATGAAATAAATGCCACGATCTAAAACTAGGGAATATTGTGATCTTTAAAAGAAATTAAATCACATAAGTTTCTTGTGTTTTACTATGCATTATATGCAAAATTTAGCTTATAATAATGAATATATCGATATTATCTATTCATGAACAAGAATCTCGAATTCATCGAGAAGATTTTGTATACAAGTTATGAGTCAAATTGACTTTGGCTAAAAATATATATGGGTATAATATATATCTATATTTAATTTTAATTAACAATTAAATATTTCAATTTCGAATATGCACTGATATCTTAACTTATCGCACATTGTGTCAGTTGGATACTTCAACTAATAAATGATTATCTAAATACCTCCAAAATTTATATGTCACGTCAGCATTGGATGTCCACGATATACGATAGCAACGAGTTTGGAATGTTTAATTGTCAGTTGAACACTTCAACTTATAGAATGATTATGCAGACACCTCCAAATTTTATATGTCACATCAGCATTAAATGTCCACAAACACAAAAACAATGAGTTGGAATGACTAATTGCATGTAGTTGAGATTAAGTTATGATGCCCAAGATATATAACCTCAAAGTTTGTTTAGTCAGAGTCAACTAAAACCAAATTTAAATGTTTATTTTGTATCATGTCATTTATTTATTTTTAAAAAAACATAAAATAAATATAAATAATAAATTTTGAACCTAAATAATTAAATTTATTATGATATAATTTGGAAGTCGAACACATGGTGCATCTGCCCCATTCTGTCTATAAATGTGTGCATTGCAAAGAGGCAAGTTTAACGCTGACACAATTGAGAACTACAGTCATGTGGTAGGATTCTCTTTCTATGCTTACTCTTCTTTTCGATTTTCGATATTCGATATTTGTATTTAGGGATAAAATTATATCATAAAAATATATTTCGTTCAATATGTTTAATTTGAGTTGATTATTAATATGTTAATTTGTTAACTTAGTTTATTTTAGTTCATAAAAGATCGAGTTAATATGTAGCTCAAGATTATTGATATGTTATTTGTAACTCATTTTATTTTAGTTCATAAAAAATCGAGTAAATATGTAGCTCAAATTGATTAATGAGAAATTTTGTCAATTTTTTAATTTGATTTGTTATACATTAGCTATAATGAAGGAAAAAAATAGTTTTATTAGGTAGTAGAAAATTATAAAAGAATAAATAAGATAATTAAAACTTAGTAAGAATTCGATGAATTAGAATTATGACTCTTTTTTTAGCACATTTTAAGTCTACCATTTCAATCAAAGTAATTTATGAGCGAGTCAATGACCTGTCCATATATATATTGACATAT